GCGGGCTTGACGGCGATTAAGCTTGCGGGCTTCCCGGAAGTACGTGAGATTGAGATGGTCTGTCCAGATCTCAAAGGACTCTCGTGTGCCTAGGAGGTACTGCCTCCACTCCTCTAGTGCGGTCATGATAGCTAACATCTCCTTGTCGTAAATCTCATAGTTCCGTTCAGCGTCGTTGAACGACCTGCTGAGGAAGGCGACAGGATGCCATTTCCCATTGGGTTGTTGCTGGGAAAGCACTCTGCCGAGGGCATAGTCAGACGCATCAGACTCAACGCGCCATTGCCCTTCGTCATTAGGCATAGCGAGCACTGGGGCGGAAGTAATACGTTTCTTCAACGCCTCAAATGCCTGTTGTTGCTCGCTATCCCAACTGGTTGAAGTGGGCCGTCGGTCGGCAGGAACGAGTCATCCCTGACATGACAGTAATCTCACACTCATTGGTGTCATGTGGTTCTTGGCTCGGTTCATATTTTTCTACTCTTTTCTTTGAGTTTTACATGCATGTCCGATCTTGATCGGCAGTGCATAAGCATTTGCATCTAGTCCAAGAATCAATTGAAGCATTCGTAGTGTTGCCTTGTTCTCCAAGACTTTAAACATTATCCTTAGCAACCATATATTAGTTCAGCATCATTGATACAACAACACCATTAATATAATACGCACGAATAACACTGCTCAATATCCATCTCATTGCTCCTTTGGTGTAGAATAACGAAGACCGCAAAGCCATGGCCACTAAGCAGGATTCGATCGATGTACGAGACTCCGTTTGCCTCCACTGGAATTGTAGTAGGCGCTACCCAGCGGCGACGCGGCGCCGGTGCCAATACCGATGCCATCTGGCCCTTTGGATTCATTGTAAGGAACATGCCCATGTGATGCGAGACATGAGCTGTCCCAGGAGACTGAAAGATGGTCTCTCGATTATAATGATCAGGCGGAGATAGAAGTGTGTCATACTATCCCTCGAGGCTGGTCTTCAAATCCGAAAAACTCCCATATGCTCTAGGTCCGAGAAGGCATTCATAGGTAGCACAGATGCCCCTAGCAACAAAATGCTGACGATGGGATTTCGGACTGGTGAGTCTCAAAGACAAAAGGGTTTCAATGTCTATATTCGATACAATGGATAGGTAGACCTCGGGAGCCAAGATATGCGCGCCCACAAGCTGGTTGAGTATGAAAGTGAAAGTATCTGTCCTCTCATCTGCCGGAAATATCCAGTACTGCAAGTTAGGTGTGCTCATAGTATGTAGCAAGGATATCGACTTGAAGACATGTGGTAGTCTTGGTGACCATAAGAGACAGCTTGAAGATATCTCATCCGAAGGTGCATAAGTTTGTCTCTGAAGTGCGAACTTGGTTGCCTGTATATATCCCCATGTTGTTGCAGGAGTCCGCCAACCCATAGTTGCCAGTAGCTTGGATAGTGTGTAGTTGTACTTCTGCCATGTTTGAAAGTACTGGAGCTCCACAATGTATATGATTTCTTTTGTGTCAGGCTAATCCTCAGCTGTCCATGCAGTGATATTGACGAGCCATGAGACACAACTGATTAAATTGAGCTGAAGCATTGATATCATAGTACAGGTGATACATAAATGCTCTGATGTCCTTGCACAGAATGCATCCAGGTAATGTAGTTAACATCGTGCAAGTCCACAAACTTGGGGTTGGCATTCGAAAGGATGGTCAGATGGTCTCCTATATTGGATCGCAGATATTGCCAGTCTGTGCGGCCCGCTTTATAAAAATTCTCTGGTATTCTGAAGGAAAGAGATTGCAGAGGTTTTGTGCTCATACCCTTCACAAGAGAGCACAGCATACGCTCCCATCGTGCCTGCGGTCCTCGCATGCAAGGGCAGTCGATGGCAAACGTGAAGTTGGCCTTAGAGAGCCCTCTGTGCTGGCGCAAGGACGCTTGGTGTTCTTGTTTGTCTTGTGCAGACGCTTCGCGGAGGCCAAGAATGATGGGTAGGAAGACGAACTCCTGTGAATGACGGGGATATATGGCAGCAAACTCCACGGTGAACTGCCAATATGCACCATTGGCGAAGTCTGTGCCGATTCAGAAGTCAGTCATTATCTGGAGAGAACGGAGAAGACTCACCGAGATAATGAGAAATCGCCATGATATCCTCTTCATCTCCAGAGACCCGCTTGGTCACTGTGAGCTGGACGCTTGAAATGCTGTCCGGCAGAATAACCTTTCTTAATAGCTGGCATATCGAAACTGCTGTGCCGCTTATGTCTAGGGACTGAAGCGACACCAGTCTCTCGCGCGTCCGACAGAAAGACTCAAGGTCTTGATCTTCAAGAATGCGGAAAGCGCTGTCGAGCACCAGCGTAGTAAGTCTATTGACGGTGGCTCCAATCGTAACGCTCCACCATCTTGACAGTCCTGGGGCTTCTTGATTGAGGTTTGTCGTCTTCTGCTCCAGTTTCTCCAGTTTCTCCGCCTTGAACCCAATCCAGACGCCGCTCAGAAAGACTTCTTTGAGGTTTGGACATATAATAGGGTTATTGGAGGCTTTGTCGAGGAACCTTTGACGGTGTTAGTAATGGACAGGAATGACTTTGAGAGGCATACACTTACATCACCACAATGTCTGAGTCTGAATATGGGTCCGGATAAAGTTGATGAGAGACAGCAATAGATAGCGTTCGTAGGTTAAGGAATGTCCTTCCTGGCTTGACCAGTCGTGTAACAAGATCTATGGCGTCATAAGGAGGTTCGACGACAATGCTTTCTGCGTTCTGGAAGGCGGGCAGTCTGTAGACACTCTCCATGAAGCGTAACATTCGTTGGCGCCGAGGGAAGCTTGAAAATGAGGGTATATTTCTGTCGAACTGGATGTGCGCTGCTACTTGGCCGGCCCGTCCCGCAAACTTCCTGATCCTATCAGGAGCCTGGGTTAAGGCGTTGGCGTAGACCCGTGGGCAGGACGCAGCCGCGCTCCGCCAGCGGCGGCAGACAATACCGAAAGCCAACCAGCCCAGATTCTTAATTATGATGTCGTCGTGAGATATGTCATAGTCATAGGTGATAGGAGTGAGGCTGACAAGCTGAACCAAGATAAGCTGTAGAACCTCAGCGGGCAGGACATCAATCGCTCGCGCCTTGGGCGACATGATGGTAGAAGGCATAGATGAGCCGAGTCAGACCATCAGGTGGACAATTTAAATGCAGGACAACCACCGCTTTGTCAGCGACTTCATCAGACTGCGCCAACATTGAGCTCAGATGGATCTGACCCAAATGCAATTGCAAGTATTGGTCTTGAATGAACCTGTAGGCTGTCTCGGATGTCCACCAAGCGAGCAGAGTACCAAATTTTAGATCAAATAAGCCACGCGACTCAACCCTCAACCATGTGATTGTGTGTTGGGCATTGACTGGGGTACTGCATCTTTCTCTCTATCACATTGTTTCATGTTATACAGGACTTGTGAGAGCATCTACTACGTAAGTTCTTTGAAATGTTCCTCATCGTGTCCTCGCTCACACTATTGTATCATTGAGGCTTCAAGTTGGTGTAGCGATTGACCTCCGAGAGCTCCGAACTCACAAAGAGCCTGAAAGGGGCCTGCATACCACCATTTTATACTCATAGACAGCTGTACCAAGGGGAACCAATGAAGCTTCAGCCTTCTAACTGGAACTCTCCAAAGAAGGCTCGAACACATTTGTACTCGCATGACCCCTTGTCGGGTTTTTTTGAATGGTAGCTGAATATGGTTTAGTATGAGATCCTGATTGACTGGACAGGATGAACCTCCTTAAAGGACATTTGATCTCTTCAGAAGTCAGACATCAAGATTGCGTTCATTGCCTATCCAATGATGATGAAGCCTGTGATACATGTAAGAATTGCGTAGCTTAGTACATTATACGTATACTTGACATATGACTGCATTATACAATGGGATAGTTTGGCAGCACGTATGCTTTCTGCCAAAAGCTTGAGATTATGTCTTCTCCAACGCCTGCCTCATCGAGAATGTGTGCAGGCGGCAAAGCTATCCAACCAGTGCACCTTTCTGATTTGCACCAACATATGTGATTAAGTTGCTTCGCAGCGATGTTGAGCTGCCGCAACCGACGTCGTTGCTCCTAGAATGGAGACCCTTCAGAATGTGGTTCTGGCTCAATACTGTAACACGCACGTCTGAAAGAGCATCACAGTGCCAGTAAGATATGGAAAGATATTCACCGGGTGCTATGTCCCGGCTTGCAATCAGCAAAGGTACAGGTACAGTGAGTTCACTGTTTCCCAGCCTTGCAGACTTGACGGTTATATTCGGGGTACATGAGTGATTCTAGAAGAGATGAGCAAGTTGTGTAGTGTACCCTTGTTTAAGTGAGCTTACAATGTATCTGGTGTACTGGGATGACATTAGTACAGTATACTCAGTTTCATGCCAAATTCTCACATTGCCCTTGATGGAACTGTCCACGAAAACCTTCCTACTTTTGACCCGTTTGCTCTCCGGAACCTTGCCGTTTAGCTTGTGACATGGAATTTGCTCCACTTCTCCTGCATACATCAGGTGCGATGCCGGCCCCATTGTAACGTCTCTTGCACTATTGACCACGCGGAAGTCTTGCATGTCTTCCCAGTCCAGGTCATGCTCGATGTCTCCCTCTAGAACCCATACTGGTACCCCATAGTTTTTCCAGCGTACTAGCAAGTGCCTTTCATCGGATATGATGCACCCAGCCAGTATCTCGGCTATCTCAGGCCTGAAAGAATCCTCAAGCGAGCTTTGATTACCCCTTGTGGGTGAGCGGCCTTGAGGGCGGGTGACGTGCATTGCTTTCACGGCATTGAAGTAAGCGGACACGCCTAGCGATCGCGGACGAAGTATCTTCATTAATCTGTGCTCGAATCAGTGAGGGACCGATGTGCATGTGGACATGAAAGTACCTGGCTCTTTCCTGAAGTTCATAGTCCATTATGAGCTCTCCGGAGTACAACCCGATGCTCTGGCCCATCTTGATACGTCTCCTCGCTCTCACTCCTAGAGTTATCGTTAGCATATCGATAGGTTAAGCAGGAGGTTAATAAACCATATCCCAGGTGCGGCTGCTTCACAATCTCGATAGAGGATTCTCGGGGTTCTATCTTGTACTGTGCGAGTGCCTGTCAGAGATACGGTCTTGACAGGATAAAGTTATGCCTCTATGTACCTTCATCCCGCAACCAGGGCCATTCCCTGCATGACACTCGGTGTTATACACGAAGATTTGACCAGGCATGGCTCTTCTTCTGCATTCACATCCAGCACGTACTAGGCAGCTACGCGGGTTTTGTGCACACGCTGTGCATACTTTGGAGTTGCAGGGCTCAGTATCGTGTGGGGCTACTTGGCCGGGACAAATGCAGTTCCTGTCGTCCGGCCAACATGATCCCCTGCTGTATAGGTGGCAGCGACAGCCCTGCAGTCTGGTATCTCCTTCACAGATCCGGATGTCAAAACCTAGGCTCTCGTCGCGATAGAAGGGAAGTGGTGCATAGTACGCAGCATCATTGTCAACGAGATAATCTTCTGGCTGCGGTCGATATGCAACGTGTGCAGATGGCCAGGCGTCAGAGTTTTCATGGGCGGATGTCATGAATGTAAGCCTGAGTTGACTTGTGGCTACAACAGAAAGTCGCAGATAGACCGAAGATGACAGGGGATGCAAAGATGATCAAGCTAGAACATTGTCGCCGGTTCGGGCTATAAGGCTGACGCTCGAGTGTGAGAGTTCTAGTCCCGATATGGAAGTCGATCGCGCCAGCCTCGGCGCTCGCCGAGATGACGAACGCAATCATGCGGATCTTAGTGCCGTTGCTGCTCGCAAGTCGGGGTGATTCTTGATGAGGGGCACGCAAGCAACAAATGGACATAGTTGCATCTAGGTGATGACCCAGATGATGGAATGTTCATTTGTCATTTATCTCTCATTTTGTGCAATTCACAGGCGCAGGAATAGATACAGGCTGCTCGCAAGCTTTCAGAATAGCGGACAAACATATGACATGTGTACTAGGGAACAGGGTCTAGAGGGTCCCCCTGCTCTTGAAGGTCGGAATTAATAGAAAGCCTCACACTAGTCAATGGCTTCTACCTCTCCACCGAGCCACACTAGGGAGTGCAAATGCATTGCGGTACAGCATGTTAGACGTTGTCGATGGATAAAATTCACAAGTGGTAATGATAGAAGAGCAAGTAATTATGAAAGCTGTACCACATCTGAGGAATTACATGGAGAAGCAGAACAGCCATTATTGCTTTACACTACCTGTCTGCACAATTGCACTTTGTGCCTATCTACACTCGTATCTTGAGAAGGGCTCTTAGTGAGTCCTAATAATAATGGAGAGGTACAGCCAAGACCTGAACTGCCGACAGATTGAAAGAGATGACTCTGCCCTGGATCTTGCTATGAAGATATGTCGTGATTGTGCTATGAATGGCAACGAATGCTCCCACGGGAATCTCCTTGTTCCATAAAGGGTCGACTCTCTTTCGCTGTGTCAGTATGTCTGCAGCATTTACAGTCTTTGGGGAGTATAAGTGGTGGGTTGAATCAAAGACCGGAACTAGTTACTGCATGTCAGTGCTTAGGACATAGGAGTATCTTGACATGTGCTTACTCGTATCAGTTCCCTCGCGTGATCGCCTGACGATATCCGAGTAAACGTATATGATTGAATTAGCAGGCTGCTTCCCTGTCGGTTTGCGGATGAAAGCTCCGCTTAGTCTTCCTGAACCACCCCCTGCACAATGAACGGATAATCAGGAAATTGATTTATAAGGAAGATATCACACTCACTCTTGATTTCCACACCATCATCGTCGATGGGTGTGTGTTTGGTCGCGAAGGACACTACACCCCCTTCAAGACTCAAGAGGTCCATCGGCTTCCCTCCACCTACCATGGAAAGCATGGCTAACAACCGTTCTCCCTCCTGAGACAGGAGGTTCACCTCCATGCTCTTCAAGAGACGGGTTACGCCTGCTCCTTTGTACGTTCTCCCCTGCAGCACATCGCTCTTAGTCACAAACCCAAAGACAAGGGCGTCGACGTTGTCTCCGCCCTTTTTGAAGGCTAGAATCTGTGATTGGCCAACTGGCTTGAGGAAATAGTCAATGGGCGTGTCTCGGGCTGGGTTGCCCAGGAATGCAGCGGGAATGCGCGTAGTCGATACAAAAGACCTGAGAATGCTGACAAAATTGGATTAGTAGACAGGCCGTCAGAAAACTTTCGGAGCACGTACTCCAGATTAAGACCTGAAGGAAACAGGGCTGGGTCAAATAGCACTCCTAGATCGGCATACTGTAGCTCGAAGGAAGGTTCAATGTGACTACGCCTATTGAGTCGTCAGGGCTCACACCAGCATGAGTGAATATAAGGGGCACTTACTTTAGCTCCGGGCAAGTGAAGTAGGTCCCCAACAATGGGCCGCTTTGCTTGTTCTCATCGGTCACCTCGCAGCCACGCTCCTCTGGGGATCCTTTGACAGCTTGTTGTGGCAAGGGTGCTGAGTTCTATGAGAGTTGAATGTCGAAGTGTCCACTCGCATGTACTTCAATGGACATACCTGGTCTATAGGCTCCCTGGAAGACACGTCGTTGTAGGCGCCAAGTAAGCCACCTCTTTTTTCAAGAGGGTGTTCTTCTGTTCTAAGACGGGTAACACCCTGGCGCTTGTATCGTGATACAGCACCGGCTCGCGACTTCGAAGTTAACTGAGCTTCCTTAGCCAAGGCAACCTTTCTGTAGGCAATGTGAACACCCAATTGATTGCATTCAGAGAGCTGCCTACCTCGCCTCGACGACCGCAGCTACTCCTTTATCCAGAGCCCTTTGCGAACGCTCCTTGCTTATCCGACTAGATATCAACTTCAGCTTTGTCCTTAGTTTACGTTCATGTGTGGAATGCACTCACCGCTTCATGGATTCAACATCTTCTTCCTTGTCCGATAATGTTGCCTGTGAGCTACAGAGCGCAACATCAGTTACGTGGGCCAGACAAGGTCGATATGATGCTGACCGCTTCTTTGAAGACATGTGTGGGTCGGGCGTCAAGCCATTTTGCTTCTGTGGATAGCTATATTATCCGGTCAAAAGGTGTTGCATGTTGTGTGTTTGAAACAAATGAAGTTTACCTGTGCTTCGTTGGCCCCTTCATAATGTCAACCTCAGGGATCTCCTGATTCATCTCGACATCGTCGTCCAGTTGATCGTCGCTAGAATCCTCGTTGCCAATAATTTCAAAGTCGGTTTCCCTGTTGCCATCGTAGATGACCTCCACATCGCTGTCAGATTCATCATTCTCCAGTTCTGCACAGTCGTTTGGTTCCATGTGAATGTTGGCAACTTCATTGCGGTGCGCTTCAGCACAAGCCATATGCTGCTCATAGTGGCTTATACGCGTTCCTGTGCTCATATTGGGAGCATCGGCAGGAGACTCATAGCCTTCATCTACATCTGAGAGCTCCGTTGCAACCAGGCCGCGAGACTTTGAGGCTGCCGTTACCTTGGCCATTACGATCTTTGGAGTCAGCCTAATAAATCATATGGGTGAGTTGCAGATGAGTGAATATAGAACAAGGATATCGCACTCTTCTTTCAAACGTTTCTGAACCAGATTAAGATGCCTAATGCAGTGTGAATTCGGCGCTTCTTGAATATACTGTGAACGAAATACACTCACGGCAACTCCCGGAGGGCACCGACACTCCGTTCATTCTTCTCTTTGTGTCTGTCTATAGTATCAGACATTTGCATCAACAGAAGGGGCCTGCAAAGAATCACTTGTCTGCCTTGACATTAAACGGATGCGACGGCAAATCCTGCTTCAAGAACCGGGATTTCCATTTCTCACTGCTGAGAAAAGCATCCCGGTTGACACTTCGACCACTGATAGTATTGATGGAACTAGATGCAGGTTAGTCTGGTAATCATAAAACAAGGAGATATAGAGCGACATACTCAGAAGGGGACCAATCCGAAGTATGCTCATTGATCGTCTGAGTATTGCGGCTGTTTAGGTGCTTTGTACTCTCCTTCCTACGAGGTATGCATCAGCAGTGACCAATCGCTGTTGAGCTTGCATACGTCACGCACTTGATCTTATCTGTGGGCTCAGCGAATACATTGACACGGCGAGATCTGATGTTGACAGCGTTGGCAGACATGGTATAAGGTTGGTCAGAATTGTGGGTCTGTAAATTGTTGGGTTGGGTTGTGGCTGTAAATGGGGTAGAGATAGAGAGACAGTGATTCGGTGACTGATGAACTTATATGACTCTCACCTCAAGCAGAGCTATGACATAGTATGCCAGCATTATAGCTCAGTGTTTGATATGAGTGATTTTGTACGGCAATCCAACTAAGGAACTCCCGTGAGGCGTGTATATAACACATCTGCTTATGTAGAAGGTGCATATAACGACGTCGTCTGCCGTAAAATATGATATTTCGTCACAGAAGATACGCTATAGCCCCATGCAAGAGTGTATCTGCTTTTAATAGCTTCTAGCATGCAAAGCTCAAGCGATGCCTTGTCTGAGAACTGTGACGTCAAAACACGAAAGGCATCAGATTGCATATCATGCTGCAACCTTAGCAACCGACCGCAATGTATAGATAGAAAGTCATACTGAGCTGAGAGTCATGTATACTATGTAGGTAGTTCTTTATGGCTCATGGACGAGGGCGCCTCAATGCAGGAGTGCCAGCAGAAGTATACCTGTAGCGCACATGGTTGTCTGTAAGAAACACAAGAGGGATGCTGTGTCTTGCTGATTCTGTGACCGAGATCAGACGGATTGGGATTCTATGGCATGATATCAAATTCTTTGTACATATGCAGCTGTCTGTCTGTGATAAGCTAAACTGACAAAAGAAACTGGGGGGATAGGCCGGAATATGTGAGAGTGAACCGTCAATAACCTATGTGATCATGGATCGCAGTAACTGATTGCGTGTTTTCCAAGCACTCTGAGTATAAAGCTTGTGCGTGGTTGCCCCATGATAACGTGAGCATACGAAACATCTCGTAGTATAGAGCAGAAAATATAGTATATATAGGCGAAACTGTGAAAGTGTTTATCTTAAACTACCCTGCGCCGCATCTCTCTTCCATCACATACACTTCGTCGCTCTGCTTCTCATGTCTAACTACCCTTATGTATGCTCTGTGGATGGTCTGGAACCTGAGCATGCATTCATGTATACGCATGAAGCCCAAGCGGTCATTGCAGACTGTTCCGACAAAGCTTTACTTCCGGTTAGCGAGACACGACAGCTACAAAACTATGCAGACGTTAGTTCAGGCTCTGTTTAGTGCAAGGGAAAAGACTTATCCATGAAGCTGCAGCATAAGTTCGCGATGAACAATAGCGTGTGGGTCGAAGACGGCAATGAGGTGGTTCTCTGCCAGCGCGATATGCACTCCGTATCGAATCAGTTGGTTTTGGAGACTACCGGCATCCTGTGGAAGTTCAATCTCATGCCATTCCTGAGCCGCAAAGAGTATGTGAGCTCTATATATACTGTATAGGTTATGTCAAACTAATCAACGTTGTGACTGGCAGCATATACCGCCAAGGAATATTTTCGCCACCTGGTTGCCAATGGGTTGCCTTGGCAGGCGTCGGGTTATCTTCACATGAAGATAGTCTGAAGGCTTTGGAGAACATACACACTATGGCGATATTCAAATGCCCTGAAGGAAAGCTACGGCCTTTACTTCACATGGAAGCCGACAGGGAAGAACTCATCTGCGCGAGGTTGCCCATATATACACCTTGGAATCTTATCAGCCAGGACTCAGAAGTTCTTGAACAGGAGGACTTCTATGACCCAAATGGAGTGGCAGTTACATACGCTGCAGACATGAATGCAGCTGTAACCACTGATAACCTTATCGAGATGACTCTAGCCGCAAGTGAAGAGAAGTAAGCACCACCAATGCCTGCATCTAGAACAGAAGCTAACCACTTGGCAGCGGCCAAGCTTTTGAGTATCATGAGTGCAGCGGTTCACTCACCCGGCATGGCCAGGTAGTAAAGGTGAGACTTGGGCTCCGGCTAACTGAGAAGGATGGAATGTACACAATGGAAACAGATCTGATCGGAGTGGCTATAATTAGTGAAGACATCGCTCAGGTAAGACTGGTTGCGCCCACTCAACAGCAAACAATCCAGCTCATCTTTTCGCAGACCATTGCATTCATGTCCAGGACTGAGAAAATGCCACCGAGACAAAATAACCTGACGATGCGGTCAAACAGTTCTGTACGGCGTTATCGACACAATGCCCACATCCAGATACAGTTGGACAGGTTCGATCATTGCTCCGGAAGTGTAGATGCGGAAGTATCGCAGGGTAGAGATACGGTACAGCCCAGAGCAAAAGGAGGGAATAAGCAGTAATATATCAGTCCGTCTTCACGAACTACACATTCGTGCCAAGTTAGGCAAGAGACAGAGAAGCTCTAAGATTGGTAGAGACAGCTCGCAGTACTTGTCTTCAATCAGGCAAACTTTGAGCAGCGTTCCAGACCGTAGGATTGTTCAGTAGTAAATACACATGAGCTGGCCATCAACGCCCGAGAAGTCTAACCTCATCTAGGAGACGCAAATGCTTGCAGAGGTGATTTTCCGCGGATACTACGCTCCACCTCCATTTCACGAGATTAGCAGGATCGACGGAAGCTGTGAGCCATGTATAGTAATCCGAAAATGCCTTCTGTACCACGCGAAGATCATATTTGCTGGATTTCGCCGGGACAGGTATGTGATCCGGGATAAATCCCATGGCTCGCAAACCCTTTACACCGCCGCTGTTGATGAGACGAATGATCTCAGCCATGTCCTGGACAGTAGGCTCGTCCAGATATCCTGCCGCAAAGTAGTCCCCTACAGGAAGTATTATGTCAGAAGGCTGGCATACATAGAACCTAGTGTGTTGAGCAACTCACCTGCAATGTGCAACGCCAAAAGAGGACCCACGAACCGAACCTTGTACCGGTGCTCAGGACCATAACCCTCATGCAACGCCGACCAGAATCGTTTGAATGATCGCCCTGCAGGAGTAGGAAAGATGGAACTCTCCCAGACGCTGCGAACATTTTTCGTGCTCCTGTTCAGGTTTCTGCCATATATGCGATGCGACACAAAGTAGCATTCTTCTCTTCCAGCATCCTGGATACTCGCCAGGACGTCTTCGAACCTGGTGAAGAAACCCTGAGAGCCTGAGAGCAGGAAGGGCGCGTTGTATGACAGGAACCGCATCAGCACTGAGTTCTTGAATCCTATGTCAGTGATCAGCGCATCCTTTTGCTGACCCTGGAATACAAGTCGCATGCGCTGTGCAGAAGGCTGTAGCTCCTTGAACGGGAGGTACATGTCCAGATTTTGTGCCACGGCGGACAAGAACTTCTTGTCAGTCGGAAGAAGGTTCTGACGCTTGCCGTTCCAGGTGAAGGACTCAATGTCGCTGACGTCCGATCGAGCCTGGTCGTTGAATTGTAGGCCTTCGGAGAAGGGATACGTCAGCAATATGCTTATGGGAGTTTGATACGCTCCACATACCGATTAGCAAGTCAGATAGCGCCAGTGAGCGCAAGATAGCCGCGCTATCTGAAGGATTGATTGTGTCGTTTCCTGACGCTGACCTCCATCGATACGCCTTGTCATGAACTGCCAGAAAGGTATTCGAGGCGTATGTGACTCGCGCTTCGTTGTCGACCATGCTAGCCTCGACCGAGAGTTTGGCCAACGCCGATAAGGGATACGAAGACGGCAGTTGCACAGTGGATACCAAGCCGACTAAAGGGAGCATATCGTCCAAGGATGGCTGCTTCGTAGTGAGACGCCCGACTAGACAGCGCGATTGCGGGAATCTCCATGCGTGCCAAACACCGGCGTGATGAAGAGCATCAAAGCCCCAGACGTCAACTACCAGCCATACAAGCCATGAGCGGAGGCGCGCGTCGCGAGGGTCTTCGACACCTATAAAATTGCCGAGGAAGTGCAGTAGGCCAGCGTAAACTTGACGCTGTCGCTCGAATTCTGAACGAGCTGTGCGAGCGGGAGGTATTTCCAAGATAACTGGATGCGCCGAAGAAGATGATAATAACGGCCCAATGTCGACCTCGCGCGCTGTCATGCGGGTATTGACCATGTCCCACAGGTGAAAAGCGATAGCCTTCAAGCCGGTAGGCTCATCCACCCCGTCAGTTGGCTTTTGAGAAAATAGCGTTGCCAGAGACTCCAACTTCGCCCAAATCATAGCCTCCATGGCCATCAAGACGACTGCAGATGACCGTAGACCAATGCCTGAAACGGATAGGCCGCTACGCATTCTCTGCAGATCGGCCCAAGCGTCGGAAAAGCTAGACAGAGCTGCATCCAGTGACGAGGATGGATTGAGAAGCGTGGACGCGTAGATCGAACTGTCTAGACTTGACGATTTCCTCAAGCGTCTTGTTGTGCTTCCCGCCTTGGACTGGGTAAAGACATCCAGGAATTCGGCATCAAAGGTCTCAACGCTGAATATCGCGTGTCCTAAATGAATAGTGTTAGGCAATGTTGGAGCTGACGTGTGTGAAGAACCTGCCTTGTTGAGGAAGACCTTCCGTACGCAGACAGGGCGATCGGCCTTCTTTCCAGCTGTTGGTCGGACCGTTGAGTGGATTCCACCACGGATGTAGCACTGTTTCTGATGGCGTGTCGAAAGAGAGAACAGTAAGAGGTGCCGCATACCCGCTCGTGAGGTAGTCGAAGATATCTGTGTTCGGTCGCGAGGCGGATGAAGACGGAAGGCGGGACAACCATTCAAAGTATGGTTTCGATGGCTCAATCTGTCTGACATTGTACTCCGGATCGGACTCGTAGGCGTTCGCTTGGGACGCGGTCGCCGCTGAATGGACATCATCAGCACTGTGCACAGGGATGGACAAAATATAGAAAGCTTACAACTTTCATGAGCTCTCGTACGCTTACGCGGAACCAACTGTGAGCCTTCATTTGAAGTGTCATCTGCTTCAGAACCAGACATATTGGCTCCACGTTTACGCTTAGAGCGCGCGATAGACTTTTTCTTCACTTTCTTCGGCACGTAGTCCATGCCTGCAACATATCAGAACGCAGACATGATGTACCACAACGTAAGACTCACTACTAGCGTCAGAATCCTCTGTCAAGCTTGAAATCGGTGACTCAGAGCGTTGCACATGAACAGCAGCTTTACGCTTTGCGGGTAGTTCTGAGTAGGCAACAAGGTCAAGACAGAGAAATATGCGCATGGATGACAAAACGAACCTGATTGAGCCGTCCGATCCGGGCCATCAGGAGCTATGCTTGCGAATGAGCGCACTTGGGAGTAAAGTATGAGCTCATATATTGACAGAAACAGCGGTGTCTTACCCAGAGAGAAATTACTGGATTCCGGACGCTCAGCCCCATCTACCTCGCTGATCTCCGGCTCGACCTCGTGAATACTAAACATATTCGCAGAAGTATCGCCCTTCTCCAGTCGCTGCGCTCGATTTTCTTGGCGGACAATCGAGAATGGAACCACAGCGGTCACCTTGTTGGAGAAATTGTTCCAGTCCTTCGCAGCAGATCGGTGTGCCTCGTTGCGAGATGGATCTACACGTGGATCAGCTAAGAAGGTAAATATCTGGTTATCGGCAAGACAGACCATTGACATGTGGCGCAAGTTCCCATGGTCCAAGCGACTGTCGTTCTCCGTCACGAGCTTCATACGAGAATGCAGACATAAATGTCGTTGAATCCACTTGAACCTAGAATAGCGTAAGTAGACTGTTCATACTATGCACATCAACAGGTAGATACCTTTAGATGCACTGGAAGCTGCCTGATAGCGAAAACAACTAACAGATAGAGCGCCCTCACAAAGAAAGTCACTAGACTGATTGGCGTCATGACCGACCATGCATCCCTTGCAAAGTTCGGATGCGTAATCCAAGCGGGCTGAGTCCTGTCCTCCGGGCTATGTAGCCGTCAAAATACTACACATACATTGAAGTGAGATGATACACATACTTGCTCAAAACATCAGGGCCAACAGAAAGATAACGCTTGTTTGAGAAACCCTCCCCATCTCCCTGTAGACGTTGACGCGTAAGACAGCCAATTCATGTGAGTGGATACGGATGCAAACCTTTGTGGGAGGTGTTCGTGAAGCACACAAGACATAGACTCCGGATGCGAGATACACGACGGCTTTCGAGTACGCAACAAATGCAACTCGATAGGCGTCCACAGGGATGACAACACCAGCTCTCTTTGCCCTTGGAGCGCTTCCACCGTGATACTGCACCCCGCGGAATACAACGAAGACAATTCCATCCAGATGGACAAACACGCCAAGTTCGTAGATTGAGAATTGACCTAACCGTGAGTTTAATGATGGATTGTTAAGCGTTGTTTAGTAGACTTCGTAATCACCGGGATCTATATCAGCCTGAAAGTTTGAACAGACTGACATGACCGTAAACCCCTCTGCAAGATCATGGTCGTCTATGTGCGGCTCTCCAAATGCTCCCAGATCCTTCAATTGAGTACTGGCTGCGACTTAAAGTCAGTGCATGCACAGTAAATTAGATTGAGATGGCGCACCAGTTCCGAACTCTACCGGGCGTGCCAGATTGACTTGAACAGAACTGAAGTGGTAATTGTCGTCCGACACAAACCGAGGAGCGTTGACAAGATCAGACTGCTTTTGGAATACTTGCTGATACTCCAGAGGAAGATACTTAGACGCTGCAACGGCTGCATGCACAACTGCCTAATGATGAGATATGTGAGTTAGATTGTGCATGTCCGGATTATTGTTGCTCACCTTCAGAGTGTGTGTGCGTATGCGCACACCATCACTATCGTGGTCTTCGGGAGATACCTGAAGAGATGTTAACGGTGGGAGAGGTATGATGATAGAGAGGTGTCCACCTTCATAAACTGCCCAGGCCCAAATGTATTACCCGAGGCCGCCTGAGCTGTTGACAATATTCCGTAGGCACGGGCACCACGGATTGGCTTGAAATATCCAGAGCGCTCTGCAGCCGTGCCGCCTTGGCCGTCCTTGGGGACATCTGGCCCCATCTCATCTAATGGACCAAGAATCTCGTCCCGCGCAGAGCGAAGATTATTGCCGAGATCTTCCGAGTACAGGTTAGATCTAGTAGGGGTTTAAGTGAGCTGAAATATGCAGACGAGTTTGCAGCACTACGCACGCGGAGAGAACTACAACTTGAAGTACATCATCCGTCCCATCCTCCGAGCCACCAGGTGGCCGAGCAAATACGGCGTCTCCTGGCATGAGCTGAACAAAGCCTAGTATTGTAGTCATGAGTACAGGCACACTATCGAGTACGCCACAATTGACACACCAGCATCCAGCAATCCACTTGCAAATGGTTTGCTAAACCGATACTTCTTCGACCCGGTATGCCTTCTCTTCGCTGCGTCGAAGTCGCCCTCAAACCCGTATACATATGTGCTAGAGTTCGATGGAAGCTCCTTAACGACAGGAGGCGTATCTTTCCCAGAAGAAGCGAAACAATGAACTCGAAGAGGATGAACCTGATCGGCGGCAAGTTTCTTCAAGATAGGCAAAGCAGGATCTCTTTTGGCGCCAGGAGCAAGAGTAACGTCTTCAAGTACCAAGGGAACCATGATGGTGGGCTGCAGAACCACTTCTCTAAGGAAAGGGATGCCTTATAGCATCGGAGGGCAGAGACATATGACGCTTAAAGTCTCTTCTCAGTACACCCCTTTGCCTACACCCCTTTCCCTGTATCCGGTTGTCCCCAACGGAGAACTTCAAGTCTATGCATCTCCCTCCAACCCTTACTCAAGACTATGTGAATAGTAAGAGCGTAGTATGATAATAAGTACACACTGGAGACACGCCGAGTGCTGTTCTTTACCACAATCTAGCCAACTAACCAAAAGTCAGGAGAGCCGGCAGAGATGAAACCCGGTTTGACTCGCTCGGCTACAGCAAGGAAAAACTGATTCCGCCTATGTCTCCTGTAGTTGTGTGACGTAGTTGGAGCTGCTTCCGACTTATGTAGAATCTGTAGCTTCGTGCGTGCACCAGGGAGCTTGAACGAAGACGTACAGTGATGGATGACTTCATGGCTGATTGACTTCATATCATACGATAAACAAGATTCACGGACATTTGACCAAGTAGTTCGCATACAGTCAGAGGAAAATACCAACGCCTTATTTGACTAGGGGTTCGGATAATTTCACGCTCTCAGTGAAGTTAGGGGTAACGGTAGAAAACATAGCCGGGTAAACTCGCTTGGCTCAGCAACATCCGTTTGATTCCGTTTGTGCCAGCTCTTCAGACCAGTGACATGTTAGGGGTACCGGAAGGAAACGTAGCCCAGCAGACTCGCTCGGCTACAGCAACGGCAATTTGATTCCGTCTGTGCTATCTCATCATGGTATGTGGCAATAACAGAATTCTCTCACAATCAGGCTATAGGGACCATCTTCCATTGGTTGCCTAAGAAGTATAAGCAGCTACTGCCATGACATGCACACACATGTGTATTGGTCAGGAAGTAAGGCTCCTGCATGTTGAGGACAGGTCAAGAGCCCGACGCGAAATACTTTCACTCACAGACCTGACAGGCAACATTGGCAAGTTTTGACTTTTCTCATACTCTCGGCTCACCACCAGCACATTCATTTGTCCTATTGTGTCCCTCCAAAACTCACTATATTGGCCTACCAACCCACACTACATGCATTGTATTTTTGGCAATTATCTCAAACTAAGTCCTACAGCTGCCTTCTTGCCGGTTCTGTGGAACTTGGTCAAACTGGTGAGCAAGCTATTGTAGTGTTATGACTGTTTATTTGTCACGCATCCTGTGGCAATGACAAACAGAACAGTCTGCCCAATTCATCACACATCACACCTAATCTGCAAAAAGCGAGCTCGGCAGTGCTTGTACAAAGCATCCACCTGAGTCATGGCATCAGACAACCAGCAAGAGGAACTCAATCAGCATGGCTCTCTTTATGCCCAGCTGTTTGGTTCAACACCTTGCATGTTCCAGTGAAGAATCCTGACAGATCAATGAATATAGGCCAACTATTGACAATATAGAATACTACAATATGAGGCAAGATGTATGTAGCTGGTGGTCAGGATTGCCAAAAGAGACCGGAACACTCATATATGTAATACAGGCTAGTCCAAAGCATGGAGCCCTAAGTGTAGCTCAGTACAGATGAGCAATGATGCATCTGAACAATCAGTGAATAATACAAGATCAAAATGATCAAAGAATAGTCCTAGCAAAAAAAGATTTGGACAAGATGAGTTATGGGTGTGGACAAGAGCATCATGCCGGCTATAGCCATGTGCCAATATACATAACTGCTCCTCATAGTAAATGACAAGATAGAGACCACCCATTTTATCCAAGACAGCCGGGATATACACCATCCAGTTGTACAGCCGTATACACTCACACAGCGGCTGTCATACACAGTAAGATTGGCCAGACCAGAATGTTTCCTGTAGGCAGAACCATGCAAGCGAGTTTTCCAAGCCAATAGCTAGATCGTGGTATTGAACAGCAGAGCATATCACAACAAAGAAAGCTGAATTACAAGGAAGGCCATCTCGCAGACACAAGGGTGCAACAGACAGGCGGGAAGCAGATGTAAGCCGCATATGTCATGGCAGGTGCTATTCAGAAAAAGACCTGAGCCTCAGGTAGCAACAGTCCGACGCCAAGATCATCAAGTGCTTGACATCAGATAGAGAAGATCTCCAACCACCACAATAGAAAGAGCGCCTGTCACATGCAAGACATACTTGCAGCATCATCAAGCATCAGTCAACAACTTGCAGGACAGGCGACAGAAGGAAGCTGCGGATCGCCCATAGAATGCAAATGTGCAGGCGCGGTGACGCTGAGCACTAGATGCATCCACAGTTGAACCATATCAGTTCTTCATATGCCTCCTGCGCATCGTCAACGTCAGACCCAATGGCACAAGTATACCAGATCGCAGCGTAAGAAGACGTTGGCATGTAAAGCGTCCAGACGTTCGAGAAGAAGCAGAAGATCTTGCCCAACAGCGAACCACATAGTATATTAGACGCGCACGAAGCAAGAGTGCGACCAGACCAGAGAAGCCACAAGGAATAAAAAGAATAAGGAGCACCCCAGTGCGAGAGCCAGAGGAGAGAGGTTGGACAACAGGGAGAACATGGTGGTTGGCAACAAGACGCGTCGGGGGAGCTCGGCGAGTTAAGTGACCGGTCACGTGAGATCAATTTCCCGCGTGCAACTTCCCCGATCTTGCATCAGCCTCAAGTAACACAAGCAGCAACGCACGGTCGCTACAGCATCAGCTATACCTCGAACCTTCTCTATGAAGATGGCAATGCACCATGTGAGTCAGGATATTCTAGATTGTAAGCAAGTACTGAGAACGAGAGAGCACAGCAGGTCATGCCAAGGGGTCGAAGAAAATTCTGTGAAGACATATGATTCGTTTACAGGAGCCTCCGTATCAAAGTACATAGGAGCCAGAGAGCTGTTCTACAATTTTTATTAACCCTCGTGATAGAGATGCTGGAGGTGCGACTTCAGTAGCCCGATCACTGCGCATAGGAGGTTGAGAGTCAAGTGCTGGGCATGGCATGATCAAGCTTTGCCGTGATCATGAACACATATCTATAGCCAGATCAGATCGCAGTAAAATTACTGAATGACCTTCTGAAGTCGAAACCCCCCTGCAAACACGTCAGTATCTAGCACATATACACAGCCTTGACGTGAAAAATCGATGTATCTCAGGATCTCCCGATAAGTAGGGACACCTAGGTTAAAGATTCAAGTCAGATGAGAATGAGTAAAAGATATCAGCAAACACACCATAGACTGCATCTAGCGGGATATCCGCAAAGTGATTGGAGAGCCACGCAGTTCGTTCAGAGTATGCCGTCATGCTGTCTCGTAACCTAGAAAGGAAGTGTCCAGCAGTATGGAGCCTAAAGATCTCTTATACACTCACTCATCTGGAGAGGCAAGCTCTCCGGCTTGACATAATTCAAGTAGTTCTCTCTTGGTGTAGATCCACCAAACCTCGCACTACAGCGAGCGTCAAGTCAATAGAGGGCATATAGAAAAAAGAAGTCGTACCATACGAGGTGTTCCTGATCGGACTTCGCTAGGGGGTTGGACCCAAGTAAGCACACCAAACAGAAAGCGTACACTATCATTCAGTATGGCGGCTGTGTCCCCGGCATGAAGCATGACGCTGATTGATGTCAGTCTCCTACGATACATAAGTTCACAGGGGAGGCTTACTGACAGATCTCCAGGTTTGGCGTGACGAACGATGACAGGCCCCCCTCTGACCTTGATGACCGTCTTGATAGGAGAGAATGGGATGCTAAGATAATACAGAAGCTTCAGTTTCGTTCATGGGCCCTCGTTGACTCCAAGATGAACTCACATGCTTTCCTCAATGAAAGGCATATCTAGAAAGTTGACTGGAGCATCCATGGCTCTATGTCAGCAAGTATGAAGCAAGCTACGAGCCAAAGGCGATCTGAGGGAGTCCACTTAAGTATGCAGCTATGCAACATGTGATCATGCGAGTAATATGCCTCATCTACAGTATGTCAATCACGGAGGCTACGTAACAAAATCCGACAAGGCCACAGTCCGATAGTGCATGCGAAGGATTATAGGAAATACTTTAGATGTGGGCAAATGCAACACGTACTCTTACCGAACTGTGATTGGGAGACCCTATGGTCGAAAGTCAGGTTTAGGTAACGTGGAGCATAAGGCAGTGCATATAGAGACGTAGCTTTGAACATGGCACATACAGATATCAGTAATTGTACGACACTGCTTATAACAGAATGTACATTACTAACACCCAGTATAGCCTAGACAAGTTACTGATTGCTTTGCAAGAGAAGCGGTGACCTCACCTAGAATCAACCCTTTATGTTAACCAGTAACGATATGCACGAACTTCTTTATCACTACTGCAAGAAGATCGGTAGTAATATGAGGCTGTGATTGGTTACTGCGAGTACGATAGCAGTCATACATAAGAACCAAGGCCCCAGGTAAAAAAAAACAGCTTCCCTGTCTCATCAACTGTCAACGCCAACAATTACACCCCTCGACGAATCCACAAAGTAGAACCAACATGTCTGACGACTGCGAAGTACCCTGTGATCTCAGCGTATTCTTTGAAGACGAGTCAGATTCTCGCGACTACGTTGTATTGTACGGATACGACCCCGGATGCACTACAAAGTACGCGCAAACTTCATCGAATCGACATAGACTGTCAATGCGTGAATGCCACGCTTATTCCAAACATTGATAGATTAGGTGCCATACTATCAACACATAAGCTTGAGGGTACTCGTGTTGTTCGTATGAACTCTGAAGCAGCTGCCTTAAGGCGTTGGAGACAAGCAATCATCAACGGAGATGAAATAGGTTGTGTGGACGGCACATGCGAGGAGGACGTGAGTACACACTACAGAGTGCAGACATAGTACACCAGACTGACACCTGATACTACCAGAGGCTAATATATATGGAGAACCTGCGGAATAATCTGATGGATGCTGTAGCAGAGAGTCCGAGGCCAGTTCCATCAACCTCTCACGAACAAAACCCAACTATACTAGGGCCTCCTCCAACCAAGCGTCAGGACCGCATTCGCATCCCAGTCACGCTCCGTAAACATGGTTCCGAGCTTCCAGAGGATCCAATATCTGATAGCAACGCGTCCCAGAGCCAACACGAGACTCAGTCTTCGGAGACCCTCAGAAGTCCTGCACACGAGCAATCCAGCCCCACAAACAGACTACATGTCGGCGAGCCTCAAGCAAACGAATCCCGCCGTTCTGCACGATCCGATGGAAATAGTAGTGACGAGTACGATGCAGCACTTGGAGGACTACCTACTCTTGACCCAGAAAGTGCACCTACACAAACGGCAGAAGCCACTCATTTTCCTCAGAACTACGCCCCACCTGATGCAGTAACTGGACCTGACTACATCCCAGAGAACGCTCCTAGTCCACTGGATGAGATACGAGACAGTATAGGGCGGAAACCTTGGTATGTTGTTCCCAGGTCAAAGCGACCAGGGATATATGCCTCGCTGTGAGTGATGCCTGAAATCAGTGATCCGATATAGAGATTAACCTACACTACTTTCAGGTCTGATGCGAAAGCTTCGAACAAAGGATCATTCAAAAAGTGTCACACGTATGGTGCAGGAAGCTATGTAGACGCCCTCCAAAGCTGGATTCGAATGCGGGATGAAGGACAAATAGTCACATACTAGGCTATTGAGGGTCCAGTCTATATAATCTCACCTTAGTCGGCGCATCACAGCCCTTGCATCGAAACTTGAAACTGAATCATGTGATGCTCTGTATGACATAGCATCAAGTAAGGCTGCAGTACAGCATACATAAACATAGCAATGTCATATTGGCGCAAGCGAATCCTATTTTCATGATGTAAAATGAGCCACTCAACAGATCAAATGACGATCATTCAAACCAAGGTGAAGCCAACAATCTGCATTCTACCTGGGTAGACCAAGGGAGCTCCAAACAGCGTACGTGCACGACGCCGACAGTAAACCATATGCATCAGTCAGTAGAGGATCTTACATAAGCATCACATCAAGATGAGAGACTCCGACAAGACAGCACGGTTGAACGAAGCTTCAATGAATGAACTTGCCACATTCGTTTGACATAGGGCGGGTAGCTTCATTCAAAACGCACCCAAGCTCCTACACAAGCCCAGTACAGGTAGATTTCAGGAGCAGATCAAACATTCAAGCGCCCATAAACGGAGTTGATGGGTTTAAGCGCCTTGACACTTCAACATCAACGATGATACATTCGCGCGATTGACGATGCACGCGTGTGAATGAAGAAGACGCGTGTCACATCGCCGTTAACGACGGCGCCTATTTCCTCAACCTGCCATCTTACGCAACCGGGCCTTGCTTGTCAGCACCCACCACATCCCACTCCCGATATGCCTCATAGCGATGACAGGCTAATTGACTTCGGCGAGCTATACGGCTACGACAGCTTCACCGACGTCGTCGGTGTGATTGGTGGACTGGTCACGTCAGTGTTCCCATCACTGTCAACGCAACCCTGCCAGCGCATGGCCGTTCCCATCCATCACACCAGCTTCTCTGACATACGCGATACACAGGACGGCGGACGCAACTGCGGCGGAGTACTATACGGCTCTTGACGGGACACCGGCCAGAGCAGGCCGAGAGTGTTACGACGGATGCATGTGCGTCGCTAATTTCTGGATCCAAGCGTGTTCGCTGACATTGAAACTAGAATCGCATACCAGCCTGATCCCGATATCAACTACGCCTCCGAAAGCAAATGGTTTGCGCTGGTTGTCAGCTCCAATGAACATGGCGGGCCCGTAGCCATTCGACCGTTCCTCTCGGGCGCGCGTCTGTACGCGCTGGCACAGGGGAACGTGCCGGGCATTAGCAATCCCCAGCAGTGCGTACGCAACCAGGCGCGACTACAGCATACTCACTATACCTGCCAGGTTGCTACAGGAGCTACAGGCCGCTGAGGTGCCCAAGAACGCGCAACTTATCATCTATAACGCCGTCCATGATTTGCCATATACCGACATTTGCCGTGAGCACAGTCCCACCAGACGCGACGGACGCTGACTCGCTTCTCGGATAGACGTGCTTACTGTTGGAGAGTTCCGTACGCTGAGCTTCTACGGCTGCCTAGCTGTACATCTGCAAGAAAATGGGCACACTAACTTAGTGGAGGTCGAGTAGGGTAGAAGAATGGCTGTCTAGCCATGAGTATCGCATCATGTAAGCGCTTGCATAGTCAGTACAATGGCGCATGGCGATATAGAGTTCTACCCCAAGCTCATGGGCATTACAACGCATGATACTGTAAGAACGTTCATTGAAGCAAAGTTCCGATGAACAGCGCGCAGAAAGTATGTGTGCATCCGGAAGGATGGCGTAGGTACTGCAAATCTTTGGGAACATCTGAACTAGAGTACTATAACATGAGAAGAAAAGTGCTGCCGTGACACGAGACAAGGAAGGAAACCCGTCTGGAAAGAGATCACCGAGTCCATGTGCAAAAAGCCATAATCAAGCCGACCGCCGTCAACTATGGCCGTTGGCATATGCAGCCACAGTCCTATGTCAAACCAACATCAAGAGCATGCCCCTGTCATAGAACGAAGCTACACAGTAGGTCAAGAGCAGACAGAGCTAGGCCATCACGGAAACATTGACAATGCAGCATCTCAACTGATCGGACTCGGCGGGACACGCGTGACTCGAGTGCGCGCGTGTCACTTAGCCGCAACGGATTAGACGCCTAAACATTGAGCGCGCTCTCCCATCTAGGACACTCTACCTCGCACTATGACTTCCACTGCTGGCAACAACGCCGATTACTTCGCACACGAGGATCTGCGGGATGTATTTGGGGCCGGCCCGCGTGTGCAGGCCAAAATCAAGTGCGTCAGCTCAGCCATCTCCCCAATACATGGCTTGACGCCGAGTATGTGGGAGTAGCCATACCATGTACTAATCACGCACGCCAATAGGAACAACGAAGGCTCATCCGCAACATGCTGGATAGAAAGAGGCGGTTTTATTCTGCCGCGTCAATGTCAAAGGGGCAACATGTACGTCGCCTGCACATATCAACCGCGTGTTTACTGACAGGTCATACCAGCGTTTTATTCGCTGAGGACGAACGCTCGAAGTTTGTATTCGAGAGCGGGCGTACTCTCGGGCTCGTCGTGAACATCGTCGGCGTCACCTACGAGATGGCGGTCGTGCAGCGTCTGCTGCCTGTCGAGGCTATCTACCAGGCAATAGAGAGCCCAAGCAGCAATATCTCCGGTCGCAAACTGTGCGTACGGCTACCAATTCGACATGATGCAGTACTTACCCTAGCGTACAGGCTGGCAAGCACGCTGGACCTCCACCACATGCAGCGTAACGAGCTCGTGCTCGTTGACGCGTATGAGTTCCTACGCTATACGCAGATTAAGGGTACGAGGGTCATACCAAATCACAGCGAATACGGATCTCACTTCCAGGAAAGACATCGTGCAAGAGCAGGAGGTGGTCACCAAGCGCTTCCACACCGGCCCTCGCGTTCGCTGGACGGCCAGCGGCCAAGTATACATACAGTTCCCCACGCGTCATTAATATATAAAGCTACGAGCAGCATGTATATTAGCACACATGAATCCATGAGCCGTTCTTTAGTCCACGCGTAGCGATGCTCCATCTCCGACTCTCCCGCCTGAACGCATCAAGACGCGTCCCGGCATCCTCCGTGATCCGCACATCCGCGTGGCCGCGTGTGGCAACGTCTCCCCCTCCGATCTATACCTCAGTTCTCCCCGCACTCTCTCGCTCTGTACCAACTGATACTATCTTTGCACTATATCACGCGGTGCTGGGTATTCAGAGGCGTCTTGATCCAGCCGCGACAAGTCTCAGCGGCGCCCCATTTGCCCGCACTGTCACCGCTTTCGTACTCTCCACCCCCTAACATCTCGCTTCTTCGTCAGATCATAGCCTCTAGCCTTTCATGTACTCCACGATCATCCTATACCTATATACTTTATTATGCACTTGAATTAGGCCTCCCAAACGCCCAGTTTCGTCTTAGATAGACACACTCTCCCCTCCTCAACGATCAAATACTACTTATATGACTGTTTCATTCCCCAGCACTGTAGACTATACGAAGGGAAATGATCATGCAATCAGCAAGACTGGCATAGGTTCTACAAACTACCTATACCTAAACGAGCTAAGCTCTCACATGTACCCGCGTCAGCTCGGGATCGGGCCGACATGCCGGGAAGTCGCGGCACGCGAAGGGGGCGTGGGAGCCAACTTCCTAAAGACGCCCAACTTTCAGGCACACGCGAAACCGACAACCATAAATCAACGAGTCAGGGATGACTCGTAATGCCACGGAACATCTTTCTTGGTGAGATTGTAGAGAGGGCGGGCGATCTTGGAGAAGTCCTTTATAAACCGGTGGTAGAAGTTGCAGAAACCAAGGAAAGACTGTAGTTCACGCTTCTTAGTGGGCTTAGGCCAGTCCGAAATGGCAGCCACTTTAGCGGGGTCCATGCGAATGACTCCTTCTTCAACGATCATGCCCAAGTACTCAATAGACGACTGTTCAAAGTTGCACTTCTCTGGCTTGAGGTACAAGTGGTTGTCACGGAGAATCTTGAGTACTTGGCGGACAATGTCGCGATGCTCCTCAAGAGTATGTGTGAAGATAAGGATATCGTCAAGATAGATAACGACCTTGCCACTGGCAATAAGGTCTCGAAAGAGCGTGTTCATCATAGCTTGAAAGGTGGCGGGAGAATTCGTTAAACCGAAGAACATGACCATAGGTTCGAAGAGTCCGCGGTTGGTAGTGAACGCGGCCTTCCATTCGTCACCCTCCTTGATGCGCACGTTGTTGTAACCCCAGCGCACATCAAGTTTGGTAAAGACGCGTGCACCCTTGAGCTTATCGAGCAGCTCCTGGATAAGGGGCAATGGGTAACGATTCTTGATAGTCATGTCGTTCAGCTTGCGGTAGTCCTGTACCGGGCGAAGGGAGCCATCTTTCTTCTTGATGAAGAAGAACGGTGAAGCCATGGGAGACTTGGACGGTCGGATACGTCCAGAGCGTAGGTTTTCTTCTAGGAAGCGGTCAAGCGCTTCTTGTTCTGCGGGAGCCATAGGGTAGTTTTTCATATGTATAGGTTTGAATTCTTTCGTAAGCTCAAGCGCATGGTCGTAAGGAGTGCGAGGAGGTAGCTGATCGAACTCCTCTTTGTCGAATATGTCTTTAAAGTCGTGATAAGCGGAGGGAACACGTTCCTGAAAGGTCTTCTCCTTCTCCTGGGAGGCCTTTTGTTCCGCTATCTTAGAAGCGTGCATCTGGAATGCACGTGTATGCAGCGTATTACGATAATTCATATCAAAGCGCGCATAGGACTCGATGTCGAAAGCGAATATCCGATCACCAGGCTCTAGGCCTTCGGCGGCAAGTGGGTCGTCCTCATCATCGTGCAGCGTCCCGCACGAATCAGGGCAGCGGGAGAAATCAATGACTCCTAGAGCCCA